TGGTCCCTGGCGAGATTTAAGCCACCGGGTCTGGGACTTGACCCGCTGTCAACTACATGGGAGTCCAGTGACGTAGCCATTATGCCAACTGCTGGTCCTGGTCTGATATGACTTCTAAGAGCTCACTTGTCACTAAGAAGAACTATAGGATTCTGTATGCTCTCAAAATAATTTCCCCAAACCAACCCTTGATTCTTGAGTTAGATATGAAGCATCAGAAACTCCATTTAAAAAAATTTCTTTTAGAATTATGTATTTATTATTATTTTTTAATTCATCACAGAGACATAGAGAGAGAGGGAAAGTGAGGAAAGCAAGTGGCCAGGTCCAGGACTGGGAATCTAGCACCTCAACCATCACACCACCTGCTGGGCCCCAGAAACACCATTAATAGTAAGAACTCAGCATGGAAATCAGTTGCTACTTCAACAATTATTTATATAAAATTTAGTCTTTGAGTTTTCTGAGACAAAAAGAATAACCCGGGACAAGCAGTTGGCATAATGGCTATGTCGCTGGACTCCCATGTAGTCGACCGCAGTTAGTATCCTGGACCCATGGCTTAAACTCACGCCAGGCACGTGTGTGGGCGTGCCCCAGATCCTGAGAGGAGAATGGAGGAGAAGGGATTTTGGCATGGCCATCCCCCTGGGCAGGTGATTTCTCACTTTCTGTCTTTCTGGTAAGTGCATAAACCTTATAGCAAAAACCTCCCCTCCCCGCCCCCCCCCCAAAAAAGAGAATCAGCCAAACAAGTCCTTCTCTCAGAGAGACACAGGAGTCATTTGGGTGGAATCTGAGCCCTTGGCATTTTGTTATTGGTGAGATTTGACCTAAACTGCAGAGGTCAAGGAGCAGATCCATCCTTGTTCAGTCAAAACAAATGTTTTGGCTAATCCCTTCCTCCACCATCCCTTCTCCAAAGTGCTTCCAATGATACCACAAAGCCTAGAAAGACAAATTCCTCAAAAGGTAACTGATTTTAAAAAATATGTAAGCCTTGGGTTAGCTGTTGGCCTAGTGGTTAGGGCAGCTGGATCCCCACATGGCCGACCGCATGGTTTGAGTCTCAGACCCAGCAGCCTGAGACATGCACTGGGCATGTGTGTGCGCCTGATATCCTGAAAGGAGGGAGGAATGAAGAAGAGATTATGACCGTTCCCCATGGGAGGTGCTTTCTTACTTCCCCTCCCTCTCACTCCAGTGAGTGCACATGCCCTCTGGCAAACTAAAGGAAGAAAGAAAAAAAAATTGAAACCCTAAATTTTCAAGGAAAAGCTCAACCGTCTTTCTGTCTTTAGTAATATCAAAAATAAAGTGAACATAACAGAATTGCAAATAGTTTATCTCTGAAGAGAACTTCTTTAGGTGGAGAACTAAAAGATAGTTTTTACCTTTGACTGTTCCTCATCCATGGAAGATTCTTCAGACGCATGGGGAGTATTACTCAACGAGCTGCTTCTCTGGTCATCAGCCGTCACTTCGCAAGGAGCCACTTCTACCACTGAGAGTCGACAGCTTTCACTCCTTCCTCCACCCAGTTCCTCCATTCTGGAGTGCGAAAAAGACCGGCAGCGGGTTTCTTGGGAGAGCTCTACAAACTTCTCCAGGGCACTAAAAAAATCGATGCGATCAGTACTGAAATCTGAGATTTCGGCCTGGCAAGTGGGTTGGGGGCTGGGTGACTCAGGATCAGGGGACATGGGGAGGTCTTTCAGCCGAGATGTCAGTTCTTCCAGAGGCAGTAAGTGGACGTTCATGTCTCCTTTCAGCGCATCTGTCTCCAAATCTTCCACTGCTAAGTCTGGGAACTTGCTGGCCATTTCTGGGGTCTGTCCAGATTGGATTAAGGCTTTGGATGCATGGCAGTTGTCAAGAGGGAATTTTGATTCATTCAGACAACACCCTGATGAGCATCCATTGATGTCATTTAAGTTTAATTCATCTTCAATCTGTCCAGCATGAAATTCCCTAGACGTAAACTCCAAGCAGATCATTCTATCTTTGGTACACAGGCCTTTCTGGTTTGCATCTTGTGGGACCACGTGTTCCACAAAGACGGGAGGGATGGGTGGGTGACTCTCCACAGTCTTCACCTCAGCGATCTGGTCTGCAGAGGTGGTGATCTCCTTCTTGTTGAGTTCTAGTCCAGGTTTACAGATGGGTTCATGGTGGTCTGAGAGGTCGCTATCGGAATGAGATCTCCAGAGTTTGTTATGCCGCTGTTTGCTGCGGAGGACATACACAGGAAAATGCCTTATCTGGTTTGTGGAAACCATCAACTCCCTCCCAGGAAACCGGTCCCAGATAAACTTAAATCTCTTTTTTTTTCTTTAAAGAGAGATTTTTTACTATAGGGTGCATGCGCTTGCTGGAGAGACAGAAGGCGAGAAATCACCCCTGGAGGGATGGCTGTACTGCAATCCCTTCTCCTCCACTCTCATCTTGGGATCTGGGGCAAGCATGCACATGCACCCATCATGAGTTTTAAGCTGCTGGGCCTGGGACTTGAACCACTGTCAACTATATGGGAGGCCAGCAATGTAACCATTACACCATCTGCCAGTTCCTAAACTTAAATCTTAACCTAAAAAATGCTTGGTTACTGTTCAATAGAACTAGGCGATAATCTGAAAAGATGCTCAATTTAACTAATAGCAAACACAAAGAAAAACAAAACCTAAGGACTGTGAGATATTATTTTGTTTTTTACCTATCAGACTAACAGGGCTAAAATGGCTAGTAACAGCCAGTGATGATTTGGTATGGCCAAAGAACCCTCTTATACACAGTTTTTAAAAGTGTGAATTGTGGGACCAGTAGGTGGTGTGGTGGTTAAGGCACTGGACACTCTGACATGGCTGACCACAGTTCAAGTCCTGGACCTGGTGGCTTATTCTCTTATTCTCTCTCTCTCTCTCTTTATGTCTCTTTCTGGTCAAATAAAAATATATGAATGAATAAATAAAATAAAATAAAATAATTTACCAAAAAAAAACCCAGTTTGAATTGTATGGGGTTAGCAGGTGGCATAGTGATTAAGATGCTGGACTCCTACATGGCTGACTGTGGTTCAAATTCTGGACCTGGTGACTGGCTTTCTCATTTTCCCTCGCTCTCACTCTGTGTCTCTATCTGGTGAATGCATGTGCCCTATAACAAACTTAAAAAATAATAATAGTAATACATAAACAACTTAAGAAAAAAGAAGTGTAGAATTTTTAAGAGTAAAATCTGGAATGGTCAGTTTCCATGTTAGAATAAGTACAGGAAGGGGCCAGCAGGGGTGCAGTGCTTAAGGGGCTGGACTCCTACATGGTCGACTGTTGTTTGAACCCCAGACCCAGCAGCTTGAAACTCACACCAGGCGTGCACACGCATGTGTGTGTGTGTTTATGTGTGTGCCCAGAGACTCCAGAGGAGAACGAAGGGGAAGGGATTACAGTCTGGCCGTCCCCCCTGGAGGGTGATTTCTTGCCTTTTGTCTCTCTGTCTCTCCAGCGAGTACACACGTCCTGTAACAGAAATCTCTCGAAAACTAAAAATAAGTATAGGGAAATATATGGAGGAACATCACCAAACTGATAAGAGAGAGCCTTTCAAAGAAAGCAGAAATACTTCTAGGGAAGGCTTTTATTTTCTATATTCTGCATGTTTATAATTTCTGGATGTTTAAACAAATGAGGGCCAGCTCTATGGTTCAACAGTAACCTGCTGCTCTAGAGAAGCTGGATTTCACACGGCAACCGTGCTCACAGCCCTGGAGCTGGTCAGCATGAAACACGAGGAGGGTGCGGAAGTGCCCACGACCTGATGGGCTGGAGGACCAGAGGAAGGAAACAGCAGTGACCAGACCCTGTAAAGGGTGCTCCTCTCCCTGCCCCCCACTCACCCTCTATCTTGAATAAAGGGAAAAAAATGTATTAAATAAAAGCATATTTAACAATTATTACCAGAAAAAAAATGTGAACTCAAAACAACATACATGTGAAACAGAGGGAAATACTCTATTAGAGCCTATTACCAAGTCCTCATAATCGGGATAAAGATCTGATGTGGGGTGTAAGGAGGACGGCGATCCTTCTTGAAGTAGGACGCACAGATGGAGTTGGTAAATCTGGAGAGAAAGCTCAGCAAGAGAATGAAGAGGATAAGCATAAAGGACAGGTACTTTCCAGAAGGACCATGACATAAAAAAGCATTCGACTATGACCTACAGCTGGGAAGGCGGTGAGCGGAAGGAAGACCAGGCACACACATACGCCCTTTGGTTTATTTTGTAGAGAGGTCTGAGGTGGAGATGAGATGTCATTTCAAACCACACACTCTAGCAAGGAAGCACCGTTTCAAAAGTTCCCAACAACGGCTGGCAGGTGGCATGGTGGTTAAGGGCACTGGACACCCACATGGCCGACTGTGGTTTGAGTCCTGGACCTGGCGGCTTGCTTTCTCACTTTCCCTCTCTCTTTCTCTCCCACTCTGTCCCTCTCTGGTCAAATTAAAATGAATAAGTAAATATAGTCAAATAAAATAATTCTAAAAAAAATCCTTAAAATAACTCCAAAAAAACACCAAAAACACAACAACAAAAAGTTCCAAACAAAAAGAGAAATGTAGCCCTGTGGTTGGTCAGAATCACCAGGCCAGGGACAGGTCACTAAGTGTGGTGCGTGGGGGTGCGGCCTCCATGACTTACAAGCCGATGAAGAGTTACCTAACCATGGGGTGGAATGGGAAACTCAGCCCAAAACAACTTGCCCCGGGCTCAGGGCCACTCCCGGGCTCTGCCGAGTCATGCGCCTGCACTAATGTGACCCCCTGTTTGTTCTCAACGCTGCACCTGCTCTCAGCTCCCCCTCCTGTCTGCTGCTGGGGCGGGCGCTCTGACTCAGGACTGCACAGCTGAGGGGTGCTTTCCCGGGTAGAGTAGGTCAAGCTGTTTATGAATATGAGCTGTAATCAATGAGCTGGTGTTAGGTGGGGCTTTTGCCCTTTCAAGCTGCATGAACTCCAGCCACCCCTAGGAGGAGACAACATATCACACATCTCAATCAAATGCGTGGCTGTGGGGAGAAGCAGCAGGCCGACTGCTCCGATGGGTGGGGCCTACATTCTACACTCTGACCAGCTCAGGCCAATGTTCTTCCTGTTAAAGTTTCTTCTCTTACATCCAGACACCCCTGTTTCCTGAACTAGTAAATATGACTGTGTTCTCTAATTTCTATCCCTCACTATCCTGAGGATGTTCAAACCTGCCCCAACTCCTCTCAGCCACCATATTGGACAACAAAAGGGCATCTTTGGGGACCAGCAGTTGGTGTAATGGCTATGTCACTGGACTCCCATGTGGTGGACCACAGTTCGAGTCCTGGACCCGGTGGCTTAAACTCACGCCAGGTGCGTGTGCGTACATGCCCAAGATCCTGAGAGGAGAAGGGATTGTGGCCATCCCTCCAGGGGGGGGGTTGTCGCTCTCTCTGTCTCTGTCTGTCTGGCGAGCACACGTGCCCTATAGCAAAAACCTCTCAAAAAAAAGAAAATAGGGGCATCTTTGTCTTCATACTGTTTTAAATAATCATTTCATTTAACTCTATTTATTTACTTATTTTAATCTGAGCAGAGAAAGACAGAGTGAGTACAAGAGCAAGAGACACAGAGAGAGAGAAAGTGAGAAAGCAAGCTGCCAGGTCTGGGACTCAAACCATGGTCGGCCATGTGGGAGTTCAGCACCTTAACCACCATGCCACCTGCTGGCCCCATCCTCATCCTTTTAATAAAATCAACAACAAAAACCCAGTTTATCCTATCAGTCAACAAGCAAATGAGAAGTTTCCATGAGTTCAAGAATCCTCTGAAGTATGATTTTTAAAGCTGCCTGCAAATCACCAGTCAGGAGGGAATGAGAGACTGAAGTTATGCTAATGCGTCTCAAAGGAAATGGCTGATATCACTGCTCTGCTGCTCAGCAGGGATTTCCTTCTCTTCCTGCGGAGATAATCATCAGAAAATATTGGGTCAGGACTCCTGGACTTACACTGACACCTGCGCATAAAGGAGGAGGAGAAGGGACCAGCAGTTAGCGTAATGGCTATGTCGCTGGACTCCCATGTAGTCGACCACAGTTAGAGTCCTGGACCTGGTGGCTTAAACTCACGCCAGGCGCATGTGCGTGTGTGCCCAAGATCCTGAGAGGTGAAGGGATTGCAGCGTGGCCATCCCCCCTGGGGGGAGATTTCTCGCTTTCTGTCTTTCTCTGTCTGGTGAGCACACACGCCCTATAGCAAAAACCTCTCAAAAACAAAACAAAACAAAACAAAAACCAAAAAAACAAAGGAAGAGAAAACCCAATCCAAAGGTAGGTCTGATGCTGCTGCCCTTTCCATTTTTGCGACTGGACCTGCAGAGAGGGGTTGTGGTGGGTCGCTCTCTGACAGCCGACACACTCGTTACTGCTGCCTCTGAAGCACTGCTATGCCACACGCTCCTCCCTCTCCTCCCCACTCAGGGGTAACCGCCCTCCTGAGCTCTGTGCTTATCATTCTTAATGATGTACTGCTTAATTTGGCATGTTTTGAACTCTACATAAATGAAATCCTACTGTACATATTCTACAACTAATTTTCTTTTACCTAACATCATGTTTTTAAGATTTCTCACTACACGTAAACGCACTGCACGGAGTGTGTGAATGTGCCACAACTTACTTCCCCATCCTGCTGATGAACGGTTTTGGCTATTACGTTCTTGTGCCGGGAACACACCTATTTCTCAGACGTTATACATAGCAGTGAAAAGGTGGGTCACTGGGTATGCATGCACAATCCACCGTATTAGGTAACACTGCCTGTTTTCCAGTGAAGCTTTGTCTTGAGTCAGTTTATTCGAATGCTCTATCACTGGCAGGGATAGATATAAGACACTAGGTCATATCTATTATTTTAAACTGTTAACTTTTAAATCTAGGTGATTCCCCTCACCTAGTCCAGCTAAGCAGCAAGTAAACAAATTGCCAATAAAGGACTTCAGAGTTGGCCTGCAGCCTGGATGATGCAACCAAGTCTCAGATCCTTTCCCTCTTGAGTGGTCTCTGACCTGAATTTGGATTCATATAAACACGCAGGCATGCACAAGATGACTGGGCTATTCTAGGTTAAAAATCTGATGCTTTTTTTTTTTTTTTTTGAGAGGTTTTTGCTATAGGATGCATGCACTCACCAGAAAGACAGAGA